AAAAATAAAAACATTTTCTTTTGATTCTTCTTCTTTCACCAGCATGACTTCAGCTTGGTGGAAAACACTGTGAGATTTAGGGTCATGTAAATGTTTCCTGAGTCACAAGCCAAACATGTTGGGCATCCCTTGTTCAGAGTGAGGAACTGACTGGATCATTGAGAGACCCTTGAACAGTCAGGCTGGGATACACACTCATATGATGGGGGATGGGAACACCTCCCCTCATACCTTTCTCTCTAACTCCAAGGACACAAGCAGAGCCAGTGCCACCTGGAGTTCTGGTGACCCGCTAGGGACCTGCCCAGCATGAACAGTGACACCACAAGAAAGTCATATAGATGTTCAACACTTTAGAGTTGGAGACTCTACAATTACCTTTGGCCCAGAGGAAACATCAACCAATGGAAATTGATCCCAATCCAACGGAAGCTATCCAAATTCTTCTGTGTGTTAATATTAGTCTCATCTAGAGGAGATTGGTGGGGTCAGCACCAAGGTGCCAGGCCACCATGGTCACCCCACCCTAGTCACCATCCTAGAGAAGGAGCTTAACTCAGACTAGATGGATATGTGAGGGGCCAAGAGAGACAAACCTTGAAGAATTGCGAAGCACAGGGAGGAAAATCTTACTCACACTGACAGCCTATTCTGAACCAGTCTGCTTCCCCTGAAGAAGAGAAATCCTTGAACTCTGCAGGGTTTTGAAAATGTGATTCTCATCCTTGAGTGCCTGAGATGAGTCACAACACTTCAAACACCATGGCATTGTTGTCTTGTGGTGAAGGGAAGGGAGGAGACCTGTCTCTAGAGGAGCCAGAAGGTCAACATTACACAGGCCCAATAAGTCAGTGCAGGGAGCCAGCTTGGGCCGACTTCAGCCATCTTGAGTCCCACCATCAAGAGCAGCCATGAGAAACCCCAACCTGCTCTCTCTCATGGTCCCCCTGCCATTGCAGTGGAATGTGGGGCTGTGCAGGGGTCCCCAGTGCTGTTAGTGGGGGGTCCACGCCTGGCATCCCTGGTGTTAGCTGAGACTAGAACAGACACATTGACTGTGATGAGTGTCACCATTATCCTGCTTAGCATACATAAGCCCTCACATGATCCCTGTTGCATGCAGCCCACCATGCTAGCTGCTTCCCTGAATCTTGCTTTTGCCAGTAGCTTCCCATCAAAAATATAGTCTGAGTTATCCTGAAGGCCTTTATCTTTGGTCCCATGCTATCTTCTTGTATTGTTATTGATGTTTTTTATTCCATTTTCCTACATCAGTTAGATAATATTTATTAAACAAAAGTCTAAAGAACATAAAAGGACAAGAGCCAGTTCATTTGAGACACCATCGTGACCAGCATGCTTCCCCCCAACTGAGGGAAGCTGAGGGTCACAGGCTGGGTCTCCCTTCACAACAGAGTTGACCCCAAACCACAAGTTATTTGACCTCTTATGTAAATCTGCCTTGACTCTTTACCCCCAGAACCCACAATGACCCATTACAGCACACAGACATTCACTCTAATGTCATTGGTCTCTCAGGTGACCCTGTCCCCTTGGAGGGCTGGCTATTCAAGAACTCCATATTTCTGCTGTCACCACCACCATCCTCAACATCATCTTCATCACCATCATCACCACCACTATCACTGTCCAGAGGTCACTACCTGGAGGACACAGGGTGAGTTGATCCTGCTGATGCTGGAAGAATAGCCTAGAGGTCATGGGGACCCTTCGCTCAGGGAGGGCATGTGGTTGCCTGCTGTGTCTCCTCCATACCCAGAACTCCCACTCCGGCTTTCTCCCATTCTCAGCTCCCCAGTTTTCCTGCTTTCTCATTGGTTGTTCCTGTACAGTCCTCCCTGTTCACACCACCATGTTTCAGTCCCACTCCCCACTCTCTGGGCCACTCTGGCCCCTTCTTTCAGACTCCAGGTTCTGTCTTCTCCTGAGTCACTGACTGTCTGCATTGACCTTGCTGTGCTCGGACACAGAAATACAAACTCCTCTACACTCAGTTCCACAGACTTAATATTGTTATGCTCAGGTTGTGGGGAACCCCCCCACCCCAAACACTACCACAGAGACTAAATCCCACGTTTCAAAGCAAAGAGCCTTTATTTCAAGTTCTGGAGCTTGGTCCCTCTGTTAGTCCAACACAGCAGTGAGAGCAGAGAGCACCAAGCTCAGGTGGGTGGAGTTTTGTTTTGTTTTGTTTTGTTTTGTTTTTTAAATCATAGCAGAGGTTGGGGTGAGGGAATTTCCAGAGTTCAGAACCATGATTGGCTGACAATTATCTAGGGGTATCTGTAAAACAAAAAATAGGTGTGTGCTAGACTCAAGGACCTCTGGATACCTTATCTAATGGTTGGAATATTTGGGATGTTAGGTTCTTCCTCATCCCTGGGTGGATCCCTGGGTGGTAACAGCTTAAGGCTTTTCCTGGATCTGGGTGTTGCCTGCCAGTAAGCCTGACACAAAAGCTGTGTCTAGGTCCCTAAGCCTGCTGCTTAGGTGCCTGCTCTGTGGTCAAGCTGTTTTGGGGCCCTCCACAAATATCACAATATTCC